TCCGGCAGTGCCCGGGCTGTCCCGGGTCACGCAGCGGCCGGTCCGGTTGGGCTCGCTGCGGGTGGCGCCGCGCTGGTGCCGTGCCAAGGCGGGCAGAAACAGGAACCTTTAACCCCTGAAACGTTTACAGCGCCACAAACCCCGCGGTGCCGCGCGCTCCCAGCCGGCACGGCGGCACCGCGCCCGGCCCGGGCTCCATCCGCGCATCCTGCGAGCGCTCGGGGCGCGGCTCGGAGCGAACCGAACCCCGCCGCCTCTCCATCCCCCGTCCCTCCCGGCTCGCCTCCCTCTCTCCCCGCCTCCCTCCGTCGGTCCCCGCCTCCCTCCGTGTTCGCGGAGCCCGTCTGGCCGTGTCCCTCGGCGGGAGCCGTCGCGGGCGGGCGCGCTGCGATGTCGCTGTGGCGGCGGTGGGGCCGCGGCCCGGAGCGCAGGGCGGCCGAGCGGCGGGAGCTGCAGGAGCGCAGCCGGCAGCAGTGGGAGAGCACCAGCCGCGCCTTCGCCCGCGCCGCCGCCTGCTGCTCCCTGCAGGCGCGGTGGAGCGAGCCCCGCGTCCCCCCGCCCAGGTACGGCCGCGGTCCGGCGGGCCCCGGGGCGGTGCGGGGGTGCCGCTGACCGCCGGTGTGTGCGGCAGCGCGGCGGCGGCGCGGCGGGACGCGGAGGAGGCGGCGGCGCGGCTGGAGCGGCGGCGGGAGCGGCTGCAGCGGCTGCTGGGCGAGGAGCGGGAGGCGCTGGCGGCGGAGCTGCGGGAGCGGCGGCGGGGCGGGATGCGGAGCCGGGAGTTGCGGGACGGCCCCGGAGAGTGCGGGAGGAAGGTGAGGGAGCGGCCCGGCCGTGCTGGTCCCGCATCCCGGGACTCGTCCGGTGAGGGGCCGTTCCGTGCTTCAGCTGTACCAGCGGGACTTGGAGTGTACCAACTCCAACTTGCTGGAGCTGTCACCTCATGGTGCCCTGAACTCAGCCTCGGCGAGGTTTGGGATGCCGAGCACTCCCGTGTCCTGACCTGACCCAACTCTGTGTTCCCAGTTTGCTGAGCCGCCGCTGCAGGAGCGCTGGAACAAAAACAACGCGCAGCTCCGAGAGGTGATGTTGCTTCCTCTTGAGTCCCTGCTGCCTTGTATTTATTAAACCGGTTTTTAACTTGAAAGTCATCATATCTCTACTGTGGTCACTCATCTTGCATCACAGCAACTGCCCTGAATTCTGATAAACAAAAGGCAAAGAAGTGAAAGGGTTGAAGGGTTGAAATAGTTTTAAGGAGCCCTCTCAAAGCTGTATTTTTAAAAGTCAGAAATCTGTTCAGACTCTGAGCAAATTTTCAGAGCTCACAAGTAAATATCTCAGGCACATAATATATAAATAATATAAAAATAAAAACCTTAATATCTCAGCTGTACCTGCCGTGCTGTGGTGCTACCTCATTCTTTATTCCACCCACGTGCTGCTGCAACATTGCAGTCCTGTATCACTGTCACTGTGACAATGACCTCAGCTCAAGACCTGGTGGGCACCTCAGACACTCAGATGAGCCCACCTCTGCAGAGGCAGATCCTCTTAGGATTTCAGGGCCAGAGAGTCTGGAAGACCTTGGGGGACAGAACCTCTGGCACTGATGACCCTGCTGCATCTGTTGTGTCTCCAGGCAGAGTCTGAGCTGCACAGGAAGCACGTGAGGGAGGCTTGGAGTGATCAGCTAACACAACAAAACCAGGTATGGGGGCAACCCTGGTGTTCTGGTCACTGAGAAGACTCTGAAATGTGTGTGTGGGTGGAGGGGTGACACTTGTGCCATGGGAGCTGATGCCAGGAAGGGCACTAACAGCTTGCAGGAGCCTGTTGGATTTTCTGAGCCAGAAGTTGTTTCTTTGTGTCAGGCTAACCTGAAATGCTGTTTTCTTTTCTTTGGGAAAGGAAGAGGTGACCAAACTTGAAGAGAAGAAACGTTATGAAAGTGAGTACGAAACGGCACGAGGGGAAGCGCTGGAAAGAACAAGACAAGACGAAGAGAAGCCTCAGCTGGAGAAGCAGCAAGCAGAGGCCTTGCTTCAGCAGATAGAAGAACTGAAACTGCAGGAGACAAAGGTAATCTTGACTTTCTCCTCATTGGAGAAAGGAATTTGTTGCTTCACTTGGAAATACAGCAGGGCTGACCTGACCTCTTCTCTCCATGTTTGCACTGCAGGGAGGGCTTTCCCTGCCTGCAGAGGAGCAGAACAGGGTACAAACTCTGGTCAAGCCTGCTCTCTGGGATGTTGTAGCTCTCTGATGTACTCTCTCTTGGTGTTTGCGTTTTCCTTTTTAGGCAACAAAGCTGAAAAAAGAACAAGAGAATTTATTAAAGCAGCAGCGGGAACTGAAGAATTTGGAAGAAGAAAGGAAACAAATGGAAGAGCACCGGAGGAAGAGCGAGTTTGGGTAGGACATCAAGTGGAGCTTGTTTTGGATAGAATTACTGTGCCCACAGCAGTAGTTGGGGCACAAGGAGATATTCTAGGTAGCAGTGGTAAGATGTAAATATCTGGGTTTTGGTGGACTTGCCCACAGCAGCCAGGGAGCAAAGGCACTGGTGCTGTTCCTGCTTTTTGTTTCTGGTAGCAGGTTCCTCATTGTCACAGATGCACCTCTCCGAGTGCAGCTGTACAGTGACATGGTGCTTTAGAGTCAGTGTGATTCTGGTTTGTTTTTTTTTGTTAAATTCTACTTTTTTTCCTCCTTCAGTCGCTTCTTGAAGCATCAGTGTGACATCCAGTTAAGGAGACGAGCACAGCAAGTACAGGAGGAGCTGGTAAGAGATTAATTTATACTTCACAGATGCTGTGTGGTGAAAAAACCTGTTGTGTGTGGTTTGCCTCTGCCTCTTGATTCCTACAGATGAGGAGGCCCCTTCCAGCTTGTGCACAGGGCTGGAGCACAAAGCTCACGGGGAAGCAGCAGATGGAGCATCTTGCTGAGCACAGCCTTGTCACTGTCACCAGTAATGCCTAGAGGAGCCCTGCACATGGAGAGTTGTTAATCTCGTGGTTTTCTCCCCCAGGAGACAGACAGGCAAATCTTATCAGCCCTCCTGGAGAAAGAAGAGGAGGATCAGAGCTGGCAGATCGCGCGGCGGGGACGGGCGGTGGCAGATGTGGCCTGGATGAAGAGGGTCATCGAGGAACAGCTCCAGCTGGAAAAGGAGAGGGAAGCAGAGCTCGAGACTATCTTCAGGTGAGTCTGCCCACCTCTGAACCTCACCTGAGGAGTCCGTGTGTGCTGAATGTTCCAGGTTAGGGGGTCACTGAGAGGCACAAGTGGGATGGGCACATCAACTGGCAGGGAACAAACCTGAGGAGAAACCCAAGTGCTCCTCAAGAATAGGATAGCTTGTCTGTGCCTGTGGAGTATACACGGGGGTTAACCTCAGAGATAATTCTTCCTCTCTCCTTTAGGGAAGAAGCAAAAAAAATCTGGGAGAAGAGGGAAGAAGAATGGGAAAGAGAGAAGGTGGCTAGAGATCGCCTGATGAGTGAGGTGATGACCTCTATTGAGGCTGTGTCCCCCTTGGCTCAATGAAACCATCATTCCACTTGTAACCCACCACCTTTTGGAGAGTTAGAGCATTCCATGGTGGGGTGGAATTTTTTTCCTTGTCTGGTGTGTTTCCTGGGAACTGTTTAACCATCTTCTCCCTCCATCTCCTCCCTCTGCACAGGTCCTTGCAGGCAGGCAGCGCCAGATCCAAGAGAAGATGGAGTTAAACAGAAGGGCCCAAGAAGAATCCATTAAATATCGAGAGCAGCTGATCAAAGAACTCGAGGAGGCCAAGGAAGGGACTCGCAGGGAGAAGGAGCAGGAGGAGGAACAGCAGAGAGCCCGCAGGAGGGAGCTGCAGGCACAGGTAGGCTGAGCTCCCCAATACACACCTGGCTGCTGAGGCTGCCCCATCTCACCTGAATTCCCTGTGCAGGGGACAGAGCACAGCTTGAGAGAGCAAGAGGAACAGCAGGAGGGATCAGCCCAGCAGCAGGAGGCCAAGCAGGGCTGGCACAGCAGGGTAAGGTCACACCTGGCACACACGTGAGCCCATCATGGAAGGTGACAGCATCCTTGTCTCCAACCTGCATTTTAATCATCACAGTGCTAGGACACAACACAGTTCCTTCCCCTCACAGAGCTCTGCAGTTTTCTCTCTTTTCTTTTTTTGCTGATATTGATATATTAGGCCCTAACTTTTAAAGAATTTTTGAGGCAGACGTTGCTAATGCCTCAAATCGTGTTCTGTGCTGAAAGGGATTTATTGGCTGCTTTAGTGGAGTTGGTACAGTGCAATTCCCCTGCTCAGTGTTTTTGTTGACTGTCCTGCTTTGCCTCGCTCTAAAATCAAATTTGAGTAACCCTACCTAAAGCCCCTGCCCAGCCCATCAGCTCCTGTGCATGCTCAAGAGTGTGTGTGGATTAATTCCAGAGCCCAAAAACCAGTGCTGATATTTGCTTTGATCCCGTTAGTTCTACAGTTACCCAAGAGCAGCTTGGACCTGAGGAATGAGCATGAGATGCAGCTCCAGCCTACAGAAAGAAAACTCCTGGAACTCCTGAAATAATGGTGCCTCTGGAATAGCCAACAGTGAGATCAAGACTTGACTCAGTAGATTTCTGAAAACCTTTAGTTGTGGCCAAGATGAATAGGAGAAAAGTTCTACTGTCTTCAGGAATGTGGAGGTGTGAGCTCCTTCAGAGAAGTGAACTGCTTCACTTTGCATTCTGGAGTTGTGCTCATGTATTTTAGTACGTGAGAGGCTGAAGCAACCCAACAAATAAATGGGCCCTGTGGACCTGAGCCACAAAAGAATCTGTGTCTGCCCTGGAAGAGGAGCTGTGAAACACCACGGGCTGTGTCAGACTCCCACCTTGGAGAATCAGGCTGTGACTTGGCTCCCACTGGACTCTGAGGAGTTAATTCATAATTGCAAATCAGTCAGATCATGTGTGCTGTGGCAGCAGTGCTTGTCCAGTTCCTCTCCAGAAGGTGCTGCAGACTTAAACATTGTTTTTCACTTGTTTCATAAATAATGAATACTAATGAATAATATTCATCAATAATGAATAATTGAAACCTGAACAAGGATTTGGTTTTGTTACATGAGCAAACTATTGCAGCAACAGGAGATTGAGTTGATTATTGCAGTTCATTCCTTGCTGTTACCATCCACTGCAGTCCTGGCACAGTGCACAAGGAGCTCTTACAGGGCTGTGACAATCACTGGCAGCACTTTACTCAAGAGCAAAAACCTTTCCAGAGATCTTTAGAGAACCAGCAGTCAAATAAGCCCACATTATTTCACACACTGAAAGGGTTTTAGCATTTTATAGTAATACTGTAAACAAAAGATTAAAAGTCAAAATATTGTACAGACAGAATGACACTGATAAATACAAGGTTTGGAAAAAGGCAAAAAAAGCTTTTCCTTTCCTCTGCAGCATTTTGTAAAGGAAGAGCAAGTTTGTTTACAGGGGAACAAGAGATCTAGTCCTAAAAGAAAAACACACCTTTGTTACTTGAGGTGCTACAAACTCTGACTGCAGTGCTGTGAGTGGAGGGTTCATGAACTTGCTGCTGGGGGTTCCTGTGGGGTGTGGATCACTCTGATTTCAGTGTAGCTGGAGCAGGGGCAGGCAGTTACTAAAATGTCCCTTGGTTTTGGATCAAAGGCAGGTTTAAAGAAGTGATAAATTACTCCATAGCTCAGTGTCACCCTGCTTTGGAAAGCAGGTAAGATATGTTAAAAGAACAGCACACAGTGGTGTCCTGGGAGACTGAAAAATACCATCTGCTGCTTTTCAGCCATTATTTAAGGAAAAGCTCCTAGAAGATTCTCAATGTGTTTAATTAATTGCCAGTTGCATGATTTTGAAGTAGGTTTCACAAAGGTAATTTGCAGTTTTGATCCCAGCCTGCCTCTGCTGTCAGGCTAGAGCTGCTCCTGGGGTTCAGAAAGGCAGAAAGGAAATAAAACCCCACAATGAAGAACATTAATTTACTGGGCTGTCATCTCCTCTTCCCATTCCTTCCCTTCCCTCTGGGAATCAGACAGCACCAGGAATCCAGCAGTGCTGTGGCACTTATGCTTGGATATATCCATACAAACACACCATGGCTGGCTCCTGGGCAATGAAAACACGCTTCCAAATGGGACAGAGGCAGAGGCAAAAATCATTGATTTCCTCCACCACCTGAAATTCAGACTCCCAAAAATATTCTCAGTTTTTAAATTATGGACTGACACACTTCTGTGAACTGTTATGGATGAAGAAACCTGGAGCACACATGGCCATTGGGACCAGGCAGCCTGGCAGGGGTTACTAAGCAAGTTGTCAAATTTTGAAAGATTTGCATAAAAAACTTAGGAGAAATGTTTTCACATTTGGATATGTTGAGGTACAGAGGTTATGTGCTGTGGCAGACACAGCTGCTTTTGCACTGGCACTTTTCTAACTTCCTTTTTTTTGTTAATAAGCACAGAAATATTTAGTGAAATTGCATCTGGAGTTACTGAGAAATGCTGCTGCAAACAAGACGGTGCCTCAAAGATGACAGGAAAATTCTGCAGGAAACTTAACAATGAATTACTAACTCAGAAAAAAAGGATAATATTTTAACCACTAATGCCCTAAAATAACATCAAACATATATATTAATGGCATAGTGACAACTAAAAGAAATAACTATTAAGTTTCAAATTCCTTCCAAAACAGATAAAGTGACAAAGACCTTGTAGAGTTACACGTAACAAGCTTGGATGCCCACAACTACTACTGGTTTAGCAGACTAAAAAACATATTGCACAACAGTTGATATGGGAACAGAGAACGTTGGGCTTGTACCCCGTTACCAGGACAAACCTTCTTCCTGCTGGGAGCCGTCCCGGAGCCTGGGGAGCCTCAGCCAGCAGGATCCCAGCAGGGGAGGCTCCAGAGGGATGGAGATGCTGCTCTCCCATCCGTGCAGTGGTGTCAGAGCAGTTCCACCAGCAGGATCTGAAAGCAGAACGTGGCCCCAAGGAAACATCTACAAGAGCTCGGTACAGCGCTGGGACATGAGAGTGGCTCGACAGCTACTTGCAACATGCTATTATCCATAACTACACTGGCAACACAGGCACAAAATAAGGCAGTGGGTTAAATTAATCGTAAAATTGTTAGAAAACATGCAAAAAATAATACTGAGTTTAAAAAAAAAAAAAGAAAAGTTTCTTGCCCCTTGGAAGTTTTTTTTTCCTCGTAAAAATGCGCATAGTTCCACACCTACACGTTGAAATCCAACCTTTAAAAAAACCCCAGAGTAAAAAGCCCCGAGTGCCTCAGTTGTTGTTCTCTTTGGTTGTGATGGTGACCAGCTGCTTGGCAGCCTTGGCGATGTCGTAGGCGCACTGGATGACCTGCTGTGTCACCAGCTGGATGTCGGGCGCGGGGCTGGGCTCGGCGGGCAGCGCCTTCCTGCACTCCGACTGCAGCCTGTAGGCACTGGACGTCAGCAGGCGCAGGGAAGTCCTCACCAGATCCGACTTGGGCTTCTGGGAAGGCAAAACAGAACAGGCAGAACAACACAACCTTTTCATCAGCTGGGAGCGCTCACAAGGGTTCTTTGATGAGCAAAGAACCCAGCCCTGATTCCCCTCCTGGCAGCAGGCGGAATTTCTCTCTCCTCTTGGAGAGGGAGATCCTGCCAGGCAGCAGGCAGGGAATATTGCTCCGTGCCCTCCCTCAGGAAGTTACTCATGCACATTTCTGGTGCCTGTTTACTGTCCCAGCCCAGCCCTGGCTGGCAGGAGGGGACAGCATGTCCAGGATGATGGGTGCAGGCGGGACAGCAGCCTTGATCTTTCCTTGCAGTTTTGGAGAGGTGGGTAACTGTGGGAATCCAGAGCTTCCCTCTGGCTGCAGGTCTGGGACCCTGGCAGGGGTCAGGAACCCCCC